AATGCGGGCGCGCCGCGGGTGGGGCCGCCCCGCCCCCAGGTGCTGCCCGGGCAGGCCGGCGGCGGGAGCGGCGGGCGGGGCGGGGGCGGGCGCGTGAATCAGGCCGCGCGGCGGGCGGGCCGCGACGGGGAGTGGCTGCCGGACCGACCGGACCGCGAGGCCGCTGGGCGGCGGTCGGCTCCTGCTGCCCTTGTCCCGAGACCCCCGCGCACCTGGCCAGGTAGGGCCCCCTCCCCCGGCTCGAGCGGGGCGGGGCGCGCCGGAGGGGCTGAGGGGAGGCCGCGGCCGGGCCCCCGGGGGTGGGGCGGGGACGGCGCGCGCGGCGCCTCTCCGCGCGGCCTCACCTGGGCGGCGCCCCCCCGCCCCCCGCACCTGGGCCGGGGCCGCGCAGCCGAGCGCCGGGCCGGGGGGAGGTCGCCGGGGCCGCTTGTGCCGGCGTGGACGCGAGCGCCCTCGCACGACGCCGGCCCGGCACGAGCCGAGTGGGAAGGGGCCCCGGGGCCCCGAGGCCAGCCTGCCGGGGCCGTCCTTACTGGCTGCCGCCCTCGCGGCCTAGCTGGAGCCTGGGGAGGTAGCTGGGCCTGGCCTGGACCCCTCCCCGAGGGGGCCCTGCCCCGGGCTCCTTGGACCGGGGGTGGCCGGGAGGCCGACGCGCGGTCTGGTGTCCTGCGTGAATTGCCGGGAGAGCGAAAGGCCTCGGTTCCCTCGCGCCCACGTCCCGGAACTGGGGCGAGTGGATGGGACACTGGGCCCCGGCAGCCGCCGGCTCCTTGCGTGCATGGAGCCCTTTTGGCCCTTTGGAGCACACCCCGAAAACTACAGCTCGGCTTCAGTCGGCACCCCCAGCCCCAGGCTTGCGCAAACTTCTGCGGGGAACCCGCGCTCCCGCCCGTACCTAGCGCCGGCTCACTGCGCCTTGCGCTCCTTCCAGTCCCCGACAAAACCCACCTCCTACCCAGGTGGGATGGCCCTAGTTAGGGGCCCTGGAGGATTTGTCCGCCTTGTGCCTTGTGTCCGGGGTCAGAGGTCAGCAGCAAAGGAGCTGATTCCTGCTGAGTCATCGGTGGGGTGGGACGGGTGTCCCTCCCTCTCTCCCTTCAGGCAGGCGTTCAGTAGGCAGATGTGTGAGGGGGAACGCCATTGGGGCCCTGTCAGGGGCTGGAGAGGGGCCGCTGGCCAGTCCACAGTTCAAGGGTGTGCTCGGCGAAAGGAAGAAAGGCAGTGGGCTTCGCGCTGTTGCTGTGTGAGGCCATGCAGGGCCCCCTGGCGTGGGCACGCAGGAGGGCACCCCCTTCCTGATGAGTCCCGCCTGCTACGGTGGTTCCTGGGTGCCTTGGCACTGCCCTCCTCCCCATGGCTGCCAGCTTGGACGGTTTCTATTGACTCCCCTTCCCAGTGGGGTGTGGAGCACAGGATCCCTTCTGTGTTCCCCCGGCTTGGGAAGGGCTCTCTCTCAAATGTGGGGAGCACAATCGTGCCCCCAGGCCCTGCCTGGTCCAACACAGACCCCATACCACGGAATTCCAGTCTTCCCGCCCCCCACCTCTGTCGGGTCCTGGGGGAGGCCCCACTACAGGCAGACCTGCACCTGGTACCCTGGTGCAGTCCACCCCTGAGACCAGTACGGGCATCTGTCGTGTAGCTGCGCGGAGTGATGAGGGACGGCAGATCTGGTTTCCTGCAGACCCTCTCCCTGGTAGCATGTCCCACCCCCGCTGCACATCCAGTTGGCCTGTCAGTCCCCAGGGAGAGTGGACAGGGAAGGTGCCTCAGGTAATTGTGCACAACAGTCTTGGCCCCGACTCCGTCCAGTTCCCAGCTGTCTCTGAGCACCCAGTGACCCCGGCCGGTCAGCAGCACCCAGCCGCTCCTGCAGACCAGGGCACACTGCACTCTGGCAGGACCAGCGTCCAGGAGCCTGGGAGCTAGGCGGGATCTGAATCCCACTCAGTCCTGGCCCCAAGCAGTGGCTGGGGTTGGGGGTGCCGGGCCTGGGGCTCTCCTTCCAGGGTAGGAGGAGGACTGTTATCCGGGCGTTTCAGGGATTGGAGGTTCATGACCCCTGGGGGTTCAGAAGGCCCCCCCCCCAACGGTGGCCTTCCAGAGCTCATGGCCACTTCTGTCAGCCTAGGCCCCCTCGCAGGCCCCTTGGGGAGGCATGTGGACTGGAGTGGACCAGGCAGCGTTCAGGTGTCCTCATGAAGTGGGGACAAGGGGAGAGGCACATACAGAGCCCGGGATGAGCCTGATGGCCACAGCCGAGGGTTCAGGCTACATCCAGAGCTGAGGGGGGCGGGGGCAGCAGGGCCTGACCAGAGATGGAAGACCACCCCCCGCACGCAGCCCTGGGCTGAGCCATGCTGGACTCCAAGCTTGTGCAGTGAGAGGAGGCTGCAGCTGGATCTGCCAGGGGCGTGGTTCTGGGAGTTTTATCTAAGGTGGCACGGTGGCTGGAAACGGGGAGGGATGGGCCAAAGAGAAGGGAGTGGTCCTGGTGGACAGGGACAAAGGGCAGGGGTCAGTTTGGAGGTCCGTGAAGTGTGCCAATAAGTTGTGGGGCTCGGAGTGTGTGACCCCACAGGACAGCTGCGGGTGTGAGAGGACTGCAGACTGAACGCTGGGTCCTGGGACAGAAGTGGTGACAGGTTTTGTAAGCTGAGCTCAGGTTGGGCCAGGCACGGTGGCAGGTCAACCCTGACAGCTGCATTTTACAGTGGGGGTAATGAGCCAGTGGGGCACAGTGACCGGCCCTGAGGCCCCACTCATGCCCCTGTACTGTGGACACAGACACATAGGCGGGGGTCACCTGGCGTGTCAGCACACACTGTAGTTCAGGGCCTCTGAAAATGCGCTCATGCCCAAATGAGAAGAAAAAAGCAAATACAATAAAGAATTCGGCCTGGATTATATTTTCTTTATACCAACAACCAGAACGTATCGGGTTGTTCTTTTTCATAATGGAGGTACAGAGAAGTACCTGGGTCACGGGCCGTCCGGGAACCCTGAGTGGGGACTTTGTGCAGTCAGAACCCCCGACTGGAAACCAGGGTGCGGGCACTCCTGAGGTTCCGGTGAGAGGAGGGCCCCCCCCGGCACAGAGTAACATGAGACAGGGCCAGGGCACCTGTACCTGGGTCCCCCGCTGGCCTCCCCCCAGCTAGGGGACATCCTGGGGCTCAGGGGTGCCCAGAAGGCCTCCACGTGTGGTCTGCACTCCACAGCCCACTCAAGGTCACGGACAGCCCTTGCTACAATGTGTGTCCACATACGGCAGGGTCAGGGGGAGCAACCCCAGGTCCGCTGCCCCAGGAATGTGTCTCCTTGCCCCTTCCCCAGGCCCCTGGCCCCGACATGGCCCGTCGCTCCCAGAGCTCCTCACAGGGGGACAACCCGCTGGCTCCCGGGTACCTGCCGCCTCACTACAAAGAGTACTACCGCCTGGCGCTGGACGCCCTGGCCGAGGGAGGGCCCGAGGCCTACAGCCGCTTCCTGGCATCCGAGGGGGCACCTGCCTTCCTGTGCCCGGAGGAGCTGGAGCACGTAAGCCGCCACCTGCGGCCCCCTCAGCATGTTGCCCGCGAGCCCCCTGAAGGCAGCCCCCCCAACGTGGACATGGATGGCTCCTCGGGCACCTACTGGCCCATGAACTCAGACCAGGCAGTGCCTGAGCTCGACCTAGGCTGGCCCCTGACCTTCGGCTTCCAGGGCACTGAGGTCACCACACTGGTGCAGCCACCCCCGCCGGACAGCCCAAGCATCAAGGACGAGGCGCGAAGGATGATTCGCTCTGCCCAGCAGGTGTGCCTTCGCAGGCTGGGTGGTCAGTGGGGGGAGCTGCCTGAGCTGGACCCCCAAGCCTGAGTAGGAGTGGAGGGGGGCAAGCCCCACCCCACTGGCTGGCCACGCCCCTCCAGCCTTCTTTCTGGGTCATGTGTTTGGTCATTGCACACTGTGGTTCTGCCTGCCCTCCTACGTGGCCAGTGTCCAGAAACTCCAGGGCTCTGGGATGGCTGGGCCCCCTTCCTGGTCTGGACTTGGGGTTCAGAGAATTCTCTCTAGTCGAACCTTTGACCCAGGCTTGGCCCCACCAAACAGGAACCAGAGATGGAAGCTGAAGGCAGCAGGTCTGGAAGCCAGAGGCCCCAGACTGCCCTATGCACTCTGGAGCGCAGTGTCCTCGCAGGGCCAGAGAGCTAGGGCCTGGGTGGTGCCTCTGGGGCGGGTTGTGCGGTTGCATTTGCCTCGTCCCTTCCCCAACATGAGGGAGGCTCTGTGCCTGCCTAGGGCTCCATCTTGGGCCACCTGGCTGCCAGCAGCCCCACACGCCCTCTGGTAGGCGTTCTCCTGGCTCCCCTTCCCTGGCAGGGCCCCGCTGTCCCCAGGAGGGGCCAGAGGGCGATCTGCGGTGTCTGGCTGATCCTGATGCTTGCCCAGGCAGGCAGGAATGGCGAGAGAATGGTGGGGACAGCAGAGGGGTCTGTCCTCTGTCCCTGACCCGCTCCCCCGCAGGTTGTGGCCGTGGTGATGGACATGTTCACAGACGTGGACCTGCTCGGTGAAGTGCTGGAGGCGGCGGCACGCCGCGTCCCCGTCTACATCCTCCTGGACGAGATGAACGCGCAGCACTTCCTAGACATGGCCGACAAGTGCCGCGTCAACCTGCACCACGTGGACGTGAGTGACCCCGGCGGGGGTGTGGGGGGGGTGGAGGGCGCCTCGGCAGAGACCTAATGCCTCTCCCCCCAACCCCCAGTTCCTGCGCGTGCGCACTGTGGCGGGCCCCACCTACTACTGCCGCACTGGGAAGTCCTTCAAGGGCCACGTGAAGGAGAAGTTCCTGCTTGTGGACTGTGCCGTGGTGATGAGTGGGAGCTACAGGTGCGCCCAGCCCGCAACCCCGACACCTCCCCCACCTAAGGGCAGCCTCTGCCCAAGCCCTGGTCCAGTAGCCCCTGACACGGCGCCACCCCCCCCCCGTCCTTGCAGACAGGACACCACAACTGCGGGCGGCCTTCCCCGCCCCCCACCAGCCCCCGACCCTCGGCCCCGCCCCTCTCCTTGACTCTGCCCTCGACGGACTTCCCCCCCCCCCGCAGCTTCATGTGGTCCTTCGAGAAGATCCACCGAAGCTTGGCGCACGTGTTCCAGGGCGAGCTAGTCTCCAGCTTCGATGAGGAGTTCCGCATCCTGTTCGCACAGTCCGAGCCTCTGGTGCCCTCGGCCGGGGCGCTGGCCCGCATGGACGCTTATGCGCTGGCTCCGTACGCGGGAGCCGGGCCCCTTATGGGCGGCCAGGTGACCGGGGCGCCGACCCCCTTCTCCTTCCCCAGACGAGCACACCTCCTGTTCCCACCGCCTCGGGAAGAGGGCCTGGGTTTCCCGTCCTTCCTCGACCCCGACCGCCACTTCTTGTCGGCCTTCCGCCGGGAAGAGCCAGCGCGGATGCCCGGGGGGGCCCTGGAGCCGCACACGGGGCTGCGGCCGCTGTCGCGGCGGCTGGACACGGAGGCGGGACTCGGGGGCGAGCCCGCGGGCCCGCGGGGCTTCTTCCAGGCCCGGCACCTGGAGACGGACTCCTTCAAGCGGCACAGCTACGCCGCCGACGGCGCGGGCGCAGTGGAGAACTTCGCGGCCGCGCGGCAGGTGTCCCGACAGACGTTCCTCAGCCACGGGGACGACTTCCGCTTCCAGACCAGTCACTTCCACCGTGACCAGCTCTACCAGCAGCATTACCAGTGGGACCCGCAGCTGGCGCCGGCGCGCCCGCAGGGCCTGTTCGAGAAGCTGCGTGCTGGCCGCCCGGGCTTCGCAGAGCACGAAGACTTCGCGCTAGGGCCCGGGCCCCGCTTCCCCGAGCTCGGCCCCGACGGACACCAGCGGCTGGACTACGTGCCGTCCAGCGCATCACGCGAGGTGCGCCACGGCTCAGACCCCGCCTCAGGGCCTGGGCCCCGCGGCCTGGAACCCAGTGGGGCCCCACGCCCCAACCTGGGCCAGCGCTTCCCGTGCCAGGCGGTGGCGAGGCTGGGCCCGGATGCCGCGCCCGACGCAGAGCCCGAGCGCAGGGGTGGGCCCGAGGGGCGGGCGGGGCTGCGGCACTGGCGCCTGGCGTCCTACCTGAGCGGTTGCCATGGCGAGGACGCCGGTGAAGAGGGCCTGCCGGCGCCCATGGAGGCTGAGGCCTATGAGGACGATGTTCTGGTATCCGGGGGCCGAGTGGCCCCTGGGGACCCTTCAGCCTCCCGTGCACCCTTCCCGGCCAAGGGCCTAGTGCCTTGCTCCGGCGGGGGCGGTGGCGACAGCCCAGAGCGCGAGGGCCTGGAGGAGGCAGGTCTGGCCAAGCAGGACTCTTTCCGCTCCCGCTTGAACCCGCTGATCCAGCGCAGCTCACGCCTGCGTTCCTCTCTGATCTTCAGCGCTTCTCAGGCCGAGGTCGCCGGTGGGGCCACGGCGGCCACCACTGAGAAGGCGCAGCTGCTGCACAAAGAGCAGGCGGTCAGCGAGATGCTGGGCCCCGGTGGCGAGGCCGTGCGCTCCGCCACTTCCACCAAGGTGGCCGAGCTCCTGGAGAAATACAAGGGCCCGGCGCGTGATGCTGGAGGGGTGGGGGCCCCAGTCACAGTCGCCAGCCACAGCAAGGCTGTTGTGTCCCAGGCATGGCGGGAGGAGGTGGTGGCGCCGAGTGGGGCGGGAGGCGAGCGCCGCAGCCTCGAGAGCTGCCTGCTGGACCTGCGCGACTCCTTTGCACAGCGGCTGCACCAGGAGGCGGAGAGGCAGCCGGGAGCTGCCACGCTTACTGCCGCCCAGCTGCTAGACACGCTGGGCCGGAGCGGCGCCGACCGGCTGCCCTCTCGCTTTCTCTCCACCCAGGGCTGCTCTGCCTCCCCACAAGGGCGGGTCAGCCCCCCGCTGGAGGGGCATGGGCCACGCCAGGCACCTCACCCTGAGCCAAGAGGGAGCCCCACCACTGCCTACCCTGAGCCAAAAGGAAGCCCCACCTCGGCCTATCCCGAGCGCAGGGGTAGCCCGGTCCCCCCTTTACAAGAGCGCAGGGGCAGCCCGGTTCCCGCTGTACCGGAGCGCAGGGGCAGCCCCGTCCCAGCTGTGCCCGAGCGCAGAGGCAGCCCCATCCCTGCTGTACCGGAGCGCAGGGGCAGTCCTGTCCCCGCTGTGCCCGAGCGCAGGGGCAGCTTGACCCTTACCTTCTCTGAGGAGTCTCCGAAGACTGGGACTGCGGAGGAGACGGCTGGCGGCCCCATGGAAGTCCTGCGCAAGAGCTCCCTGCGTCTCCGCCAGCTGCTGAGCCCCAAGGGTGAGCGGCGCACGGAGGAAGAGGGCGGCTTCCCAGCGCCGCAGGAGAACGGGCAGCCGGAGAGCCCCCGGCGGCCGTCGCTGGGCAGGGCGGATAGCACGGAGGCAGTCACTGGAGACGAGCGGGGCCCGCGGGCGCGCACGGCCTCCACCACGACCAACGCCTTGTACAGCAGCAACCTGCGGGATGACACAAAAGCGATTCTGGAGCAGATCAGCGCCCACGGCCAGAAACACCGCGGGATCCCCGCGGCGGCCCCGGGCCTGGCTCACAGCAGTCCTGAACTGGGCCGCTCCCCAGCTGCTGGCGGCCTGGCTCCGGATATGTCCGACAAGGACAAATGCTCTGCCATCTTCCGCTCAGACAGCCTGGGGACCCAAGGTAGACTGAGCCGTACCCTGCCAGCCAGCGCGGAGGACCGCGACCGGCTGCTGCGCCGCATGGAGAGCATGCGCAAGGAGAAGCGCGTCTACAGCCGGTTTGAGGTCTTCTGCAAAAAGGAAGAGGCCGGAGCCCCAGGGGCGGGGGAGGGCACAGCGGAGGACGACACCAGGGACAGCAAGGTGGGCAAGTTCATGCCCAGGATCCTGGGTACTTTCAAAAAGAAGTGAGCCTCCTGGTTTCCTACCCCCGACCAGGCGCCTGCCTTACTGCCCCCCACCAGGCAAGATGCCTGGCTTTCCCAAGGACTCGGGGTAGAAGCGGCGGTGGTGGAGCGTGGCCGCACCTGGAGCTCGCCCAGCTGCGGCCCTGGCCTGGCCTGGCCACTCCCTCATGCCATGCCTTACTCCTCCAGCTCCACCTCCGCCGCAGTGCCCCAACCGCCCCCTTCCTAGCATCCCCGTCCACCATCTCTGGGCTTCAGGGCCCCTCTAGACCTGCATTCACCTCAGGGCCTGATCTTTTTGTGCCTTAGGTCCCCACCTTTTCGGGGGCCCATCTTTTTGTGCCTCAGTCCCCCATCCTTGGGGGCCCCAGATCTCAGGGCTTCCGTGTCTCAGGACTCCCCTCTGCTCACTGCTCTCCTGCCCGGATGCTTTGCCACTGCTGCCGCTTTCCTGCGTGCGGGCAGCCCAGTCTCTCTCTCTCTCCCGGGCCGGTGTCTCCCCCTGCACCCCGCGGCTCCAGGCTCGCTTCCTACCCCGCTTGCATTCCTCCTCCCGGCCTCCCTCTCTGCCTCCTGGCACCCTTCTCAGTGGCCATTCACTGGAGGGGGGGTGGGGCAGAGCTGGTTCGGGCAGCTTGTGATGGGGTTGGGATAGACCCAGACCCAAAAGGGGTCCGTCTCAGGAAGCATGGTCCAGGGGTTTGCTGATGGGGCGGGGGGTGCCCAGGGGACTCCTGAGAGACCGTCCTGCCAGAACTGAGGCCGGCCTGGTGGCTCTTCCTGTGGGGCTCCAGCCAGCACCCCAGCCCCCGGCAAGGGCTGAAGGGCTGAGAGCGTCCGCGTTTGTAACACTCGGAAGCCAGGTCTGGATGGAGGCTTGTATTTGAACCTGAGGGCAGGGGTCCCTGCAGGGGTGCAGGACCCCTTCACGTGCCCTGTTCTGCATTCTTCCTTCTTTGTCACCAACCTGCAAAATGGAAGTTTCCCCACCGCCCGTTTCTGTATCTCTTTCACCTCTGGACAGTGACTTTGATTTGGAATAACACGTTTTGACACCAAATGCTTAGGAAGCGCCACTGTAGGTGCTAGCATTGGGAAACTAGTATTTCTGCAACCTTTTTTTTTTTTTTTTTTTTTTTAAGAATAAGAAATGGCAGTCGCTCAGCCTGGGAAAGGATTTAAGGAACGAGGCCGCTGAGCGGAGGTGGCAGTTCTGACTCCAGGCCCCTGGAGAAGGGCGGTGGGGGTTGGGAGACACTGGGTCAGGTGGAGGGGGTCACCGAGGAGCCAGATGCTCTCCAATGTCCCTCGGCCTAGAGGCACTTGCTGACCCGTTTGCTTTCACATGTCTCGGTGCAGCCCTTGTCTGTGTCCTCCACGTCATGCTGAATGACATGTGTCAAATGTGATTCTGCACATCTTGGTGTTAACAATAAAACACAGCAACACATTCCTAAATATAGATACCTCCCAGTTAATACATGGCAAACGTTAGTCTTGGGAAGTCACATTTCCTTCTGGATGGCCCCATCCCTTCGGGGAGCACTAGAGACTCCCCGCCCCACCCCCCGCACACCTGTACTGCCATCACCTGTGGCCACATCTGACCCAGGAGACTCTCCATCTCCTTGCCCTCCCAGGACCTGCTCCCCTGCACAGGCAAACTGCTTTAGTCCGATACTCCCACTTCCAGTTCTGCCAGCCCTCTGTATAGGCACACCCCGCTGGGGGCTCCTGGTCACCAAGCCCCTCTAGCCACGTGCCCAGGTGTCCAGATCTCTCAGCCATTCTGCTCCCCCCCCGCAGGGCTGGGCTTCCTGGGGCCCCACCTGCTCCTCTCTGGGCTATGGGGTTCCTTCCCTCCCCCTCATCCATCACCTGGGGGCTATGCCTCAGGCTCTCGGAACTCAGCCGACTCCCCCTTCACCCCCCCAGCCGCCGGTCTTCCGACTGGCTCACCTCCAGGCCAGAACCGGGCCATCTACTCTCACTTTCTCTTTGGGCTCCCTCCCAAGTCCTCACCTGCTTGCCCCATCGCTTGCAGCCACCTGGTCTGGGCCCACCCACTGCCGCTGGCAGCTTTCACAGGTGCGCAGAGCTCCCGCTCCTGGCAGCCCAGCCCCCGCCACAGCACAGCCCACATCCTGTAGACCGTGAGCTCCAGCCGGCAGTTGGGAAATGGCCTGTGTTCCAGCGCCTGCCTGAGGTCAGTTGTGGTGCAAGGCTCACCTGGGACCATGAGACAGGTGTCCCCCGGAGCCCCTCGGATCTCTTCAGCTCCCACCCTCCTGGACCCACCCCCTACCAGGACAGACCAGCTGCCAGTCACTGTTGGTGGCCAAGAACACAATGATCACAGTCAGGGGGTTGGACCCTGGGGCACTCTCTTCCACTTTTACTCTGGCTCAGAGTTGCAAATGCTGTCACGTGATGGTCTGCACTGAGGCAGCAGGTGCACAAGTCCCTATCCACGCACCCCCAGCAACCTGAGGACAGCCTTGTCCCTTTGATGGTGCTCTGGCACCAGGCAGGCCCCAGACCATTTGTGGAGAGAGAATGGGAAGCTGGCCCTGAGGACCCCCCAGGCCAGTCATTGGTGGTGTGAGCCTCCAGGGACAGCACTGGGCACTGGACAGACAGGAGCCACAAAGGGACAGCAGGTGTCCACGCAGCTTCTCATGGGCTTTGTACTAGACACGGGGGGGTTCTCCGAAGGGGGTGGTTTCCAGGGAAGGGGTGGTGTGACCTCGGAGGGAGTCCCCACTGAGAACAGAAGATAGGCAGGCAGGCTGGGGACGGACACGAATTTATTGGAGGACGTGATTGGGGATGGGTGGGAACTTCACCCACCCCGCCGGGGAGGCCTGGACAAGCCCCCTGGATCTCGAGAATGTGGTCAGGCAAAAACGCAGGCCGGTAAAAGGGGGTTGGAGAGCATGGGGGACTCGGGGGTAAATCTGGGGCTGGGAGATGGGCAGGGGACTGGGCAAGGGGCACGGGCTGAGCAGAAGAGCCGGGCTGAAGGCCGATGGGGCGGCTTAGGCGCGGGGACCCGGGAGCAGCGGCAGGCGGCCCAGTGCCGAGCGGCAGACGGTACCGTACGCTTGAGAGTAGCCCCCGAGCGCAGCCCTTGCGGCGCCCTGGACCCCTTGCGAGGCCGAGGCGCTGAACATCCTCCGGCGGGGCTGGGGCTCGGGCCGGCCGTTGGCGGGAAGCCCGCGAGGGACCTGCACACGGTCCAGGGGCGGCGTGAGGGGCGGGACCAGAGGGAGGGGAGGGCCCCGACTCAGGCGACCCCAGCGGCCGAGGGGGCGGGAAGGACGGCCCGGGAGCTCACCTGTCGCGCGCCGCTCGCGCGCAGCTCTCGGCCCGGGTTCCAGTCGCTCCGGACTAGGGCCTGGATGGCCACCTGGGCGGCGGCCTGCCTGGCGAGGGAGGGCGCCGCCCCCTTGCCACTGGGCTTCACCTGGGAAGGGGTGCGCCGCCGGGTCACTGCCCGGCCCTCAGAAGGGATTGAGAGGGACCCTCCCGGGCCGACCTACCCACGAGGGTGCCGAGGGGGCCTCCGGCGTCGCCGCAGGGGGCCTCTCCCCTCTCCCGAGACTTTGTGGGGGCGGAGGCTGGAGCAGGGGGGCCGAGTTCTGCCGCGGAAGGTTCTTGGCTCCGCGGGCAACGTCTGTGGGGTCGGAAGATCAACCCCCGGGGTTAGTCTGGCACAGCGGACGCTCGGTGGCTCCACCCGGAAGGGGCAGGGGCCGCGCCCGGTGCGGGGAGGCCGTCGGAGATCACACACCCGGCGCGGGCCGCTGAGCCGGGCCGCTCTGAGGTCTGCGTCCGGGGTTCCGCGTAGGCGAGCCCGGGGCGGGCGGAGGGGCGGCGCTAGGTCTGAGCAGGTGCGCCTGGGGCGGGGGGGCGCCGGGTTCTGCGCCCGGGGGTGTGCCCCCCACGCCCTTCTCTCTGGGGACCCGGCTGTTGGCCCTGCGCTCCAGGATCATCTGCGGAGAGGGAGGGGTGCTCAGGGGTGCACCGCGCGGGTGTAGAGGGTGCGGGGGTCGCTAAGGCAGGGGAGGGGCTCGAGGGTGAGCGCGGATGGGGGACGTCAGTGGTCGCCGCCACAGCACCTGATAGACGCGGCTGCGATACTCGGGGGCTGAGAGCTGAACTCCTTCGAGCACCGGGAGCCGCACAGCTGAATCCAGGGTCCACTCACGGGCCGGGCAGTGGAACCTGCGGCGAGCCAGCGAGGCGGGCGTGGCGGAAGCGGGACTCTCCGTCTCTCCAGCCCGGCGCAGATCCGAGACCCAACATCCAGCCCCAGCAAGGGAGGAGCTGGCCCGCGGCACCCTGCCCTCTGCACCCCGCCCGCCCCGCCCCGCCCCTACCTCTGCACGTAGGGGTGCTGCAGTGCCTGGGCTGCGCTGAGCCGCTTGTCTGGGGCAAATACCAGGAGGCCCCTGAGGAGATCCAAGGCCTCCGGGGGTGTGTCTGGCGGCAGGAGGGTGTCCAGCGGCTGCCGTGGCCTGCGGGTGCCCGCTACTGTCCCCTCTCCAGGTGCAGGCTGCTCCCACACCCATATCTGTGGCAGCTCCGGTTCCGACCCTGACCCTCTGCCCAGCACCCCTTAACCGACCTGGTGCCTCTCTGTCCCCATGCAACACCCTCAGGCAGTCTGGCAAGGGGCGAGACCCCTCCCCGCCTTGCTTCGGTCCCGTCCTCTCCAAGCCCTGCTGCGTTCCTGTGGGCCTCCCCACACCTCCGGCCATGCTGGGGGACGCTGAAGGTTTCTCATTATTAGTGTGACCAAATTGCTGGCTGTGGGACCGCCATCAGAAGCCCAGGGCCCAGGTCTGGGCTGGCGGACTGGCCCACAAGTTGACAGGAAGAGTGCCAGAGCCAGGCTCCTAAGCATCCCCACTCACCAGGCCCGTAGGCAGGGCAAGATCGAGGCACTGTAGCTTGAGCCAAGAGCCAGGAGGTCTGCAGATGGGTGGACGGAAGATGGTGTGTGACTGGGAGGG